GGTTAGAAAAATTATATCTAAATGCAAACTTTCACTGGGTAAATTTTTTTACTATTTTTACCCAGCAAGTAGTAAAGCAACTACAATCCCATCGGTAAGTAGTTATGTAGCCTATTTTACTATTTTCCTTATTTTTATCGGTTTTCCAAGTTATATAGCCAGCCCATTGCCATTTCACTTTAATATTCCGTTGGGTTATGTTAGTTACTCTGGTTCTACTACGAATATCTTCATTTCTAACTTTATCACGTAGAGAAACCCCTCTCCAATTTAAATTTTTTAAATTTTTCAGATGATAGTTCGTCTAACATTAAAAAAAACCATAAACCCAAGTCTTTGTCTTTAAATAGTTGTTTATACTTAGGGAAGCACCATTTTTTATTTATTTAAATTGTTTGATTTAATTTGATAACAGTGTACCTAAATGTAAGTATACGTATCTATATTTCCTTCCCCAATAATATTTTATAAATTCATACTCATAAAAACAGCGTTTTATTGTAATACATAATTATAAAATTCAGTATCAACTAATTAATAAAAATATGCAACAATAAAATTACATAGGTATTAAAAACTATCGAAATCGAAGTAACGAGAGCATGTTCGTCGTTCCACATCTAAATTATATAAAAATGCATTTTTGAATTTCACTAATCAACGTCGCCGCGAAAACTTCTTCTTTGGGCACTTTAAAATTTATTTATTTAGAAAATAATATTTATAGTTACCAGTGTACAGATATTAACTAAATTAAGTATTTCTAGTCATAAAAATATTTATAATTGAGTATAAACTTTTAAAAAACTAATATATATTTGAACGAAGTTGCTCCAACACCGACGCGCGATCCACCCTCGACGATGTCCGAAAACGGATATCCTGTATATACTTATTATACTCTTTGAAACGGACTGCGACAGGGCGACGGAGCATGCGCGCTCGCGTAAATATATTCAATTTTAGGGAAAGATTATGTATTCTCTTATAAAACGGGGAATAAAATTAAAACTCTCAATTAAAAATATTAATATTTTTAAGACCTTTATTTTTTAGTGTAAGAACTATTTAAAAAGCCTGTGCCGTTTTGGAGAAATTTTGCAAAATATGACAAAGATACCTTTTGGGGATTTTTTTTCTAATAAGGGGCTAACAAAAATACAATTTTGTTCAATTAAAAACATTTACCAAATCCTCTTCTGTTACCCTGTATTTTTTCTGTGTAGATTAAATGAACAGTTATTGAGATTTTTTTACTTAAATATCCACGATTTTGGCATTTCAACCACTGTTAAGGCCTTAAGTAAGAATAAACTGCGGATTTTGGCAAGAGCCCTGACTGGATACTGTTGTCTGAAAAAAACCAATACATGTCCATCCTGGGGCTGAACAACTCAAGGATGTGTCTGCTTAACGGAAGAAACACCTCTGCGCATCCTAACTGATTGTGGACACATAATGCGCAAAAGTAACATTCATCTGAGAAACTATGTACATAACCCAGAAGAAGAGAAATTGCTCACAGCTAAGCTACTCCTTCAATTCATTGAGGACATATGGCTTAGCAGCGATCACAACAGATCTTATAGGTCGCAGTGATACTGGTCTTTCTAGACCTGCATAGCTGCTCGCACGGAATAAAAAGGCCAAAAACGCTACACCATTTTCGAAGAGATTTGTATATTGTTTGTATTGTTATTGATTGTATATTATTTAAAAATAAAAAATAATCAACAATTTTAATTTAAAAAAAAACAGCGTATGGTTTTAACTTTAATTCGAATACAATAGTATGTAAACATTATTAATATTTGGGAATATCGCTGTTTTCGACTACAGTGTTGCAACTCCGAGCCGAGAATGGATTATTCTCGACGATAGCGCGCATATATCGCTTGCAATTACAATCGCGTATATCCTGTTAATAAAGCAATGATAATCAATGGACCATATATTATAATATAATAATGTAAAAATATAAAAATATATGTATATATCTATATATTATATAGATATATAGATATAATTTTTATAGGCCAGGCAGACGTTGTTCTGCCCTCTCCGGCGATGATATATTGATCCGAAATATTGAGGGTCACTTATAGGGATAAAAACTATCCTATCTCTCAAGTTGGACCAAACTGCACACAGTGTAAAAATTTCATTTATATCAGTTCAGTAGTTCATCGCGGAATAACAACGCGACACGTAATTTTTATATATAAAGATATATATATATATATATATATATATATATATATATATATATACAGGGTTATTTTGCAATAACCGGCCAAATTTGCAAAAAAGGTTCAGAATAAGCAATAAGGCAAATGGTGAAGAAAAATTAAGTAAAAAAATTTCAAACGATCTGTCTTTTCTATTTTTGAAATTCAAAATGCGTGGTACTGTATTATTTTACCAGATATACTGCGTGCGCAGTAATCTGGTAAAATAATACACATTCGTAAGGGACGATCGGTAGGCAAAAACGGTGTTGGCCATAAATCACATTCAATTTGGGATAATTTCAAATAAAATTAGAAGCCTTATTTACTCGTATTTTCAAAAACTGCAATAACTGTATATCATTATTTATATTTGAACTTAAGATACCAGCGTGAAGTAGAGGCTTACCTCTGCGTTTCGCTTGGTGAGTGCAGGTGGCCGGAGGCCCTTTTTACTGGAAATGAGGCATTCCACCTTAGTCCTTACGGGTGACAACACATCTCATTTTGATTTGTAATAGAGGATAGATGTAGATGTCTATGGGCCGCAGCAACCACTTACCATCAGGTGGACTGTGTGCTCGTTTGTCACCCTTATCCTATAAAAAAAAAAGTTTAAAAATCGTCTACTCTTTGAAAAATAACCCTGTATATATTTGCAGCGAACAGTTGTTATCACGTCATGGCTGCAAATATTGTAATCGACGACTTATTAATCAACAATACTTACTACAAATTACTACTACTTTGTACAAATGCCTCAGTCAGTCGGTTATAATAAAGTAATTAGACATTTCACAATGGTTTCTTATTAATTGGCCATAAAAATCTGACCGATTTGTAAGTTGTATAAATCTTTTGGGGAATAGAGCGATACGACTACAAATTTACAACTTACTTATTTACACTTGGTTCCATATTTGCCATTTTATGGAAAATGTTCATCTCCGTAAACTTCACAGACACTGGCTCTTTCAATGGCGTTTCTCAGGACTTTTAGTGTGTCATAGGCGTAATGTATACCTCATTTAAGGTGGGAATCTATACGTCGTCCGTGAGTCAAATGGCCTCGAAACCACACAGACGGCTATTCAGTTTGTTTAAAGGAAAAAGTCAGTTAGTTACTTATGTCTTACCTAATATTATACGAAAAGGAGGCTCCATGACGCAGTAGTTTTGCATTGCGTTTCAGCGCTGAGAGTCGTGGGCTAAATCCCGCATGCAACAAGTTTTTAATGTTCTACAAAGATTTGTGGATGTCTGGATTTGTGCAATTTATGAATATAAACTTCTGCCATAAGACGGGAAAATCCTAGTCTAGTAAGAGGTAAAGTTTTTAAATAAAAGAAACGATGCTTCATATAATATATAAGCATTCTGTCGCCTTGGCTACCGCTCACGCCTTTTTACCGCACCGCTTTTTCTGAGAATGCGATCTGAAAGTTTATGTTTTGATGAACAGATCTTCCCAACTAAATCCTAGGCATAATGCAGTGCCCGATGAGTAAATCATTTCTCATGTTGCATTGCTGCTGTAAATGCGCTGCGAGTATTTATTTTCTGCAGCTAGGAATTGCGCTTTAGTGAGATTTGCAAGCTGCCATGATTTGAGTTGTAAAAGGGATGTAAATTGCTTGCTTATTATTCTTCTCCTTAACGTATATCGCATATTATATAGTGGTGTATACTACACCATTTCGACTCGTCGAAGTAGACAAAGAGCATATAATCACTACGTTTTAGTAGTAGATTATAAAACACGTTGAAATTTGACTAACGAAATATTAATTTCTTACGTCTAAAAATAATGAGTTTTCATTTTATTTCATTTATCAATTTTAGTCACTTGAGGACTGTGGGCACTTCTATTTTCCTATCACGTTTTTCTAAATTTCCGATTAGATAGGCGCGTTTAAATTTGTTATTGTCTTAAAAATTGCAAATAATATACTATTACCATTTGCTTCTATCATAGGTATCATTCACGCAAGTGAAGTTGCGCATATAGGAAGCTTGTTACATAAAAGGTGATGATTATTTCCTAAAATATCTTATTTGTTTAGTTATTTATTGTGTACTATTTGCATATTTTTCCGTATATCAGAAGCGAAACAGTCCAGGGTGAAAATTATACTACATTATCAGTTCTTAAATTTACTTCTTCTGGCCCCTGCAGTCTCTACAGACGACTTCCTGGTTAGTGAAGTCTAAATTAGAATACCTCATAGTCTATACCTATTTACCTATATATCGCTTCTCAGTAGCCTCTCAACCAAATCATATACGTAAATGGATATAATATTATGTCAGAGGATGTTATGCTTACCTGATACTCATGTGGTACAATTACACTATAGAATAACGCCGTTAATTTCATCATGAAACATGATTGTAGAGTACGGCTTGTAGCAACATCATTTTTGAAGACCGTGCTTATGACCATACGTTTTTTTTTACTTTAAGGTCAAGGTGACTTTACTTGCGCACGTTAGTGATATTATAACAAATCATGCGATGGTTACATAATCAGGCAGCTAGCTTGATTTTGTAGTTTCACAAAATATATTGCATAGTTCATATTCTCGAAGCATAACTTAATTTTGGTTTAATATTAACCCAATTTAAAAGCTAAGAAAGTTAAACATAAAAAATATTTTTTTACAAAACGTGCTTTAATACTAACTTACATAGAAAAACATCTTCAGAATATTCAGAGATTTAGTATGTATGTTTTAAATTTTAATTATATTTCTTTAATTCTTTTTTGACGTCTCATTTCTTTTTCTTGTTTAGTTTCATGCAGCAACATGGTTCTGGATCGGGATCGCACTGCGTTTCCCGTGTCTCTATTCTGGTAAGAGGTTTCCTTTCAGGACCTTTAGGTGTTACTAGTTCAAGCTCCAATTTACATCGGCGGTCACCATTTGCCCCAACTTTGGCAACCTTTAATTATTCAAATCGCAAAGGTTGTTAGTAGTGTATATAGCACTTTATTATTCATAAAATTAAATCCGGTCGTCGTCCGGAAAAGTCCGTCGAAAAATTTCTTAGTCAGATCATGTTAGATCAACACTCTATTTTGTCGAGGAGTTCGTAAAAATCAACCGGGCACTAAGTTTGTTATAAAATAATTCAATAGATAAAGCAGATTAGTCAAGGCATTGCTTATAGTACGAAGACTTATTATCTTTGAATTGTGAGAGAGTAAGTCCGAGTAAGGACGATGACTAGATTCAAAACTGATTAATAACATAGCAAAGAGAGATAAGGAAAGATTTTCGGAAACACGTGAAACAAAATTTATCTTTCTTATTGAATCCACCATAGCCTGTCAAAGTCAACTGCTTACATAGACGTTCATAGACAGCCTCATACGGGAATTATTTGCCATAGTTGCTACGTTGGGCAGGCGGCGACCGCATTTTTTATTGTCTACTTATATGTTAAGGAAAGCGCTGCTGTTAACTCCTGGAAACTGCTGGTTTGTTTCCCTCTGTTGCCTCTTATGACACCCGAGACAAAGAAAATATACAGTACGCGAACCCGAGAGGCGATATGGGGTAGTAGATATTCTTATACCACCACAAAGACATGTATTATGTATAATAACAATTAAAGCCTAGTCCATGTCAATGTAGTTTGTTTTGTTAAAAAATAAATATTTATAAAATAGTTAATGATTGACAGTGTTATCATTGATAAGTTAAAATTTTAGGTTTAAATTATCTATACTAATCTATACTAATATAATAAAGCGGAAGTGTTTTTTTTGTTTTTTTGTTTGTTTAAACGCGCTAATCTCTGGAACTACCAGTCCGATTTGAAAAATTATTTTTGTATATTACAGCCAGATTCATGTGAAATAGTATAGGCTATCTAGAATTAAGCTATATTACTCAGCTAGCCTTAAATATAGATATTTGTTAAGCAAGTCAGTAGAAAAAGCATTCCCGAAATGTTTTATCTGCGTACGCTGGTGTTATCGTTAGGGATACGTAAATGCAATGTTCTAGAAAAATATAGATCATTACTCCGTCTAAAAAAAAATCCGCGATACCATATGTCTATTTCTTATACATAAGCCATAAATAGGAATTTTGTGACAAAAAATTTTGAAAATTTAAAAGTGATTTATAAGCGTTATTATTAGACATGGCCAATTTATCCTTACGAACGAAAGTTCATCATCAAGACAATATTATGAAGATAAACTTTGTTCTTTATACCATGTTATTTGGACGCATAGTTCAAGAGATAATATAAAATTAAAATAATTCAATACTTGGCTGGGCGCGCGAACGACACATAAACCCTAGCTGCCCGGTGAGAACTGCGAGAACTGCTCAACCGGGAGGGGGAGGGAAAGTGGATAAAACTTAACTTCGCTCTACATCATACATAATATGCCGACAGATCAAAGTACTCCATTAATTATGCCAATTTTTCCATCTATTGCTATCAAATAAAATATTTAATAGCAATTATAAAATGCTTGAACTAGGTCATGTCGCGCACCTCCGACACGTCATGACGCGGGTGAAACCGCGGGACACAGTTAGTTATTAATAATTAAGTCCGTCCTATGTACCCTTTACCTTAAGGTGTTGCATTTAAGTTTTTAAACAGATAGCTCTTGCTGAGTGATAAAAGAGACACAATTCAACTGGTGGTAAATAGATGCTATGTAACTAAGACCTACTTCGTTCCCCGATTAAGAATCAAAATATAGATGATGTTGTCACCCTTGAGGATTAAGATGGAATGCCTTTTCCCCCGGGGAAAAGGTTTTCATTTCTTTACACCATACGAAACTCAGCAGTATTAAGCTGATATTCTGTGTGAGCATAGTCATACCCTGGTCGAGTCGACCCATAAGTGCTACACTTTTATTAAATAAATAACAATGAAGCAAATACAGTCTTCTAACAATAATAAATGGGACATACGACTTATACGTGCCTTTAAAACAAAAACATCTTTCTTTGGATGCAAAACAGATTGTGTGGCACCTGGGCTTGGTACGTTAGTTGGAACTAAATTGCATAACCAAGGGCAGGGTGGGGACTTTGGGTCTGCTATTTTTATTTTCCCTTGGACTTGCGTCCCTTTTGCTTCCTTTATTTCCTTTTTTTTAAACATATTCTTACTTTACATACACACTTAATTTTGAGAGCTATAATTAAAAAAATCTATCAAAAAGAATGTCATATTGACATCATTCTATTTAGTTGCTGTACCGCTTTTGACCATAGATTGCCATAGATAGAAATTAAGCATAGGAAATTTAATAAAAGATAATAAATGATAATAAAAAAACCTATGTGATTCTCGTTTATATGATTTAAAAATGAAACGTTTTTACTTATGCTTGGATATTATTTTTTAGGAGTTAAAAAATAAAAGACCGCTAATTTATTTTAGGAACAATACTTATGCCAATCTAAATATGCAATATTAATTATTGTTTATTAATTTAATAGTTTATGTAAATCTATACGAATAAATAAAATTAAAGTCTCTGTTTGTAATGTCAAAATAACATCTTTTTACTAAATGCATATGAAAGTATATATACGGTACTTATAACAAAAACCAATTTTAAAATTTTTGTCTGTCTGTCTGTATGTTGGTATGTCTGTCTGTTTGCTCCGGCTAATCTCCGAAATGGCTAGATCGATCGATTTTATGGAAATTTCACTGTCAGATAGCTGATGTTATAAGGAGTAACTTAGGCTACTTTTATTTTAGAAAAGCAATTAGTGTTCCGCGCAAAAAAATCAAAACCCATGAAATCCAACCGCAATAAATTCCACACGGACGATGTCGCGGGGAACAGCTGGTAGACAATATGAGGAAATGGAAGGAAGAACAGGTGTAGGTACAAAGACACTGCTTATTCCATGTTGAAATTTCTTCCAGCAGCCCTATTCAAAGATACCTAATAGAAAGCAATAGAGGCTCTTTGGGTGGCTATTCAAGCTGTTCAATTTGCTCACAGATAATCTAAGAATGTGGGTTAAGATTGGATGAGTAAGTCGTCAAATACCTTGTAATAGTGGTGTATGCGGTCCACTATTAACAGACTCCGAGTGGTCTAGGAGCGGAGAAATAAAACTATCTTTCTGATATGCCTTACTATGTGCAGGCGAATGGAGTATGGAGTATATTTTATTCAGCTAACCCTACCTATATTTATATGTCCGGCTACGTCCTTAGTTTACCAGTAGTAAAATATTTTATTTACTTAGCCAATTACAATACATACATTTTGAACCAACCATTATGTACAACTATTATGTGTCGCGCTCCATTTGCCGGCGTTAGACTCGTGGATTGCTTCTCGTAGCTGCGTTGCTGGACGGAGCTATAAAAGTGATGCAGACCGCTAGAGACCCCTGTACCCTGGCATATGTCTGCTAAATATTTAAGCGTCACCCTTGACACGAGGCTCACTTTCAGGCCCCATGTCAAAAGAGTAACCCGTAAGGCAAGTTTCTACCTCAGTAGGCTCAACAGTATGTTGGGCCGATACAGTAAAATGTCCATCCGTAACAAGCGAACCCTTTATAAGGTCTGTTTACGACCAGTCATGTCCTACGCGGGCCCCATTTTTGTCCACGCTGACCCTAAAGTTATTAATGAACTCCAAGTAGTTTAAAACCTCTTCTGTCGTCGAGCTGCGAACGCACCTTGGTACGTCCGTAATGCCGACCTACATCGGGACTTAGAGCTCCCTACAATCCAGCAATTCCTAAAAACACTCTCTGAGAACTTCTTCAAAGCCTCAGAGTCGCATTCCAATCGTTTTATTCGTGAGGCAGCTACTTACGCAACCCCACCACCCTCTCGTTATCGAGTCCGCAGGCCGAGAAACTCCCTCGGACCCGCCAAATAAAATTTCAATCGACCTGAACTGCCTCCTGGCGGCTCAGGCCGACTCTTCTTAAATATGCCTAAGTAGGCTCTCCCTCAGCGGCTCTTTGTAGCCGCATGCGCCCTCTTCTCCCAAAAGAGGGTCGCTTCCGATCCGGCAAAGCGGCTTAATCAGCCATATTTTGCATGTCCCAAAGGCGGTTTTTAGCGGGTGTCACTTAGGTCCCCCCGTAGGTAGATACAGTGAGTCCCGCATAACCACGACAGACCGGCTGTCGTGGTATGCATAAATGCATTTTCCGCCTCCCTACGTAATGGGTAGCCCTTTTCCAATAGCTTCTGGGCACTAAAGCGCGTGGGACACATCTCCGGAACAGCAAGAAGAAGCGAAGCTGCGGCGTTGAAGAAACGCCTCGAAAATGGTCGACCGTTAAATATATATATATACGACAAATTATCTCGCATCGATATGCAGCCCGCAGTATCTCAGTAGCCGGGGGTAATTAAGAAATAAATGTTTTCTTCAGACCTTCACCTTTTGCGTTATGGTAGCAGCAGGGTACATTATTTATTACGGTTTAGGGTTGATTAGCCTGGCTGCTACATCACTCTCCCCCTAGCGAAAGCGTACCGGAGGCTTGACGATTCGCCCATGTCTCGTAGTTTTTAAAATAGGTTTCACCTGGGTTGATGTAGATGATGGGTTTTCCAGCTGCCTCGCTGGTGGTTGAGATGATGATGATGATGGTGAGTCCTCTGAAGCATCCTCGTTAATAATATAGGCAGGCTTTAGTCGGTCGATCAATATAATTGTAGATTTCCTTCCGGGTATTTGTAATTTAAAAGTCTTGCTATTTCGCTCTAATACTTTATACGGTCCATCGTGGGTAGGTTGAAATTGTTTCTTCACTGCGTCGTTTCTTACAAAAACTTGCTTGCATGTTTTCAACTCTTGATGAATGAATACTGATTTATTATTTCCGTGTGATGAAGTGCGTTTCGACGATAAGACTTTGTTAATTGATTCTCGAAGTTGAGTTACAAAATCGTAATTCATTTCTTGATTATTTGACGATGTTGAGGTGAAGAAGTCACACGGTAGTCTTATGCTGCAGCCGAAGGTTAGCTGAGAGGCGCTAAGACTGGTGCTGCACGCGGTGTTGCTCGTAGTCCAAATAGCACTGTAGGTAGCTCATCAATCAACTTTGTATGTTGATATAAACGAGTTTTAAGTGCGGTCTTCAATGTACAATGCCATCGTTCGACTATTCCGTTTGATTGAAGATGGTATGCCGTTGTACGTGTCTTCTGTATTCCCATAGTTTGAAGGAGTTTGAGAAATAGGTTGCTTTTGAAGTTTCTTCCTTGATCCGTTGTGATGGTTTTAGGTGATCCCAAACGAGTAATCCAATTTTCATAAATTATCTTCGCGACGGATTCAGCTGAAGTATCATCAGTAGGTATTGCTTCTGGGCATCTTGTTGTTCTGTCGATCATTGTTACGAGGTAACAATGTCCTTGCGGTGAAGTAGGCAATGGTCCAACGATGTCAACGTGCAGGTGTTCGAATCTCTCCGTAGGTGGAAATGAAGCTAGGCTGCTTGATGTATGTTTTTGTACTTTGCATTTTTGGCATTGAATGCATTGCTTCGCCCAGTTGCCAACATCCACTTGTATTGAAGGCCAAAAGAATTTTCCAGTGATGAGTTTTCTGGTTGCTCTAACACCTGGGTGACTGATGTTGTGCAGTGCATTGAAGACTTCGCGACGACGTTCTTCTGGTAGGTATGGTCGTATGGTTGACGTTGAGGCTTCACAGTAGATAGGTGGATGCGTTATATTGGCATTGTAACTTGCTTGGTGGACAAGTTAATTTGCTTCGATAGATGTTTGATGTTGTTGCTATCTCTGTCTTGTGCTTCGGCGATCTTGTGATAGCCAATTGAGGTAGGGCACATTACACTGTCGATTGGTATGCGACTGAGTGCGTCGGCGACTATGTTGTCCTTCCAACTGATGTGACGTTTGTCGGTTGTGAATTCACTTATGAAAATGAGTTGTCTTGCTCGTCGTGGTGTTTCCGATGGTGATGGTTTCTTCTGAAGTACATATGTTAAAGGCTTGTGGTCGGTAAAAACGATCAGGTTTCGACCCTCGAACGTTTTTCTGAAGTGCTTGATAGCCATGTAGATAGCGAGTAACTCTCGGTCGAATGTACTGTAGTTACGTTGAGTATCGGAGAACTTCTTCGAGAAATAGCCAAGTGGTTGCCATTTCCCATTGATGTATTGTTGAAGTACAGTTCCTGCTGAGAGTACGGACGCGTCGCTGAAGATAGCAAGGGTTGCTTCGTGTGATGGGTGAGCGAGCAAAGCTGCATTTTGGATCGCAACTTTACAAGCTTCAAATGCCTTCGTGGTTTCATCGTTCCATCCGATTAACGTTTTATCTTTTTTCGTCGTGTTGTGTAGGTAAGCGTGAAGTGGTGCTTGGATTTCAGCGGCTTTAGGTATGTGTTCTCTGTAAAAATTAACCATCCCAAGAAAACGCCTTAGTTCTTCGATTGTTTTAGGTTTCGCATAATCGATGATTGCTCTGACTTTTTCAGTAGGCAGTTTGATTCCTTCCTTACTGACGGTGAAACCAAGAAATTGAACTTCTTGTTGTCCAAATATGCATTACGAAGGGTTGATTGTGATTCCATTGTCTTCTAATCGTTGTAGCACGGTGTGTAGATGGGTTTTGTGCGTTTCATTATTAGGGTTTGCAACAAGGAGATCATCAATGAATGCGAAAACGAAATCCAGTCCATGAAGTATTTCGTGTATGAATCTTTGAAAGGTTTGACCAGTGTTCTTAAGTCCTGGGGTCATTCTTGGAAATTCGAATAATCCCATTGGTGTAATTATTGCTGTCTTCTCCATGTCTTCATTGCGTACTTTCATTTGTTGGTAAGCTCGGTTGAGATCGATGGTGGAGAATATAGTCTTGTCTGACAGTTGATGAGTGAAATCCTTGACTCGCGGTATTGGGTAGAGGTCAGGAGTGATAATAGAATTCAGTCTTCTGTAATCTCCACAAACTCGTAATTCTCCATTCTTCTTCGGTACAACGTGAAGTGGTGATGACCAAGGGCTTGCTTGGACGGCATATTCCTTGCTCGATCATGTTTTCGAATTCCTTTCGAACTTGCTCGTATCGGTGTGGTGCGATTGGACGTGCACCGCAATGAAGTGGTGGTCCATTGGTTTCGATGAAATGTTCAACGTCGTGCTTCGGTGTTAATTACATTGAAGATATTCTTGTGATTCCAGGATATTCTTCAAGGATCTTGTGATACGATTGTTGAACATCTATGCTTTTTATTGTGGGCAGATTGGTTGCTTGGACGAAAGACTGAGATGCAAGATTCGTTTTCCCGTCGATGATTCTTCTATTTTTAATGTCGACTGATTTTCTTCAACATCACCAGTTAATCAACTGGTGATGTTGCAGAAAATCAGACCCGATGATTGATTTGCTGACTTTAGCGACGATAAATCTCCACTTGAATGGTCGGCGTAGGTTTAAATCCAGTTCCATTGTTTTTTCTCCATATGTAGGAATCACCGTATTGTTTTCTGCGTAGAGTTGAAAATCCAGTGGCTTCATTTTCTGTCTTTGTTTCGGCGGTAAAACTGAGATATTTGCTCCGGTGTCGATAAGGAAGGTAAGCTTGCTTTTGTGACGGTAAGACTGAATATCGGTGACGAAAAGACGGTAAGACTTTTCTGTTACGCCGGATCCCGTCGCATTAAGCGTATTGGTTAGTTTTCCGATTTCATATTTTCATTTTTGAATGTACACGGTGTTGTGCATTTTCTTGCCTCGAACCCGAAACGTCGATGATAGTAGCAGTAAGGGGATCTTTTTCTTGAGCTTGATCGACTTCTACTTGCAGAGCGGTTGCGACGAAAAGTTGATCTTCGGTGTTGCTGATTGCGCTGGTTGTACTGTTGGTAACAGGTTTGATGCTGGGAACCTTTGAGCGCAGCGACTTCGAATGATAACTTCCGAATTTCTTCGAGAAGAAACTGGGTATCATTGGCCTTGGTTGAAGTGCCTTCGATCATCGATATGTGTGAGCTACTGCTGTTTTCGATCATCTTGTCCGCCAGGAGTGCCAGTTCATCGAGCTTCGTCTGCGTGCTGAATGTTTCACTCACTGCTAGTACCGATCGAACATGTGGGGGTAGGTGGTTTACCCACATTAGACGTAGCTTCGAATCTGGGACTTTATCTCGCGCCAAAGTACGCATTCTTCGTAGGAGTTGTGTGGGTTTCTGGTCTCCAAGTTCTATTTCTGATAGAAGTTTCTGTAGCTGACGACTGTTGGATTCTTCATATGCAAAGATCAGACGATCCTTCAGCGAATTATACTGGTCGCTTGCCGGTGGGTTGTACAACAGGTCCGAAATTTGTTCGATGTCTTGTTTCTCAAGTTGGGCGATCACCATCTGTGCTAGTTGCGCTTGACTCTTCTTTAAATCATTCGTCGCGGCTTCAAAACTGACGAACCAAAGTCTGGGTTTATCTCTCCAAAACGGTGATATTCTCAACGATAGAGATATACCGGCAATTTCTTGTTCCTTGGCCGGGTTTGATATATGTGCGTCGGATTTCTTCGCTTCTCGCTCCATAATGACGTCTTGATTACACTGATTTTATATACTGAAGTCTTCCTTGATATTTTTCCTACTATTGTTGCAGGGATCTTCCTTATCGGTGATCGTAACGGGGTCACCAATGTAATAGTGGTGTATGCGGTCCACTATTAACAGACTCCGAGTGGTCTAGGAGCGGAGAAATAAAACTATCTTTCTGATATGCCTTACTATATGCAGGCGAATGGAGTATGGAGTATATTTTATTCAGCTAACCCTGCCTATATTTATATGTCCGGCTACGTCCTTAGTTTACCAATAGTAAAATATTTTATTTACTTAGCCAATTACAATACATACATTTTGACCAATAAAGATTAATAAAAATATTATGTACAACTATTATGTGTCGCGCTCATCGATCACTTTTTTATTAGTGATCGATGGTCGCGCTCCATTTGCCGGTGTTAGACTCGTGGATCGCTTCTCGTAGCTGCGTTGCTGGACGGAGCTATAAAAGTGATGCACACCGGTGCACGCGCGTAATCATGGGGGGTCAAGTCTCTGTGGAGCCGATGCAAACGTCGGGAAAAATAAGCGAAACAGAGACAGCGCTATACGCAAAACAGAGAAATCACTATTGAACCATGTTACGCATTGTATTTCAATTACAGTTTAGGAACTTTTATTTTTGCTTTTTAATATCTTTGTCGCCTGCCCATTAAAAATTATCTTTACTTATCTTATAACTTATAAACTATATATTTTGTAAGACACATAACAAATAAAAGTTGTTTAATCCATGAAAGTATAAATTAAATTATACGTTCCGATTATTTTTATGTCCGATTGAAATGATTACTTACAACAAGCTCTGTAGCCGAAAATATAAATGTATCTATGGCTGTTGTGAAATAAAAACGTAAAGTAGATTATTATTTAATACATATTCATAAAATTAAAAAAAGAAGAAGTTTCAAAGTTCATTTTACATCAATTAGATATTATTTTAAACGGGAATGTTTCAAATCATTTTCAAATTAAATGCAGTTAGTTTTGTTTAACTTTTCTAAGCCAAATTCAAAACTGATGTCGATTTAGTATATTTCGTAGAAAAATAACTTAAGTGTGGTGTTACTAGCCGGTGAATATTTAATTTATGGTGATTTATTAGAGTTGTTTTACTTAATGACGATGTTTAACGAATAATAATAGATTACTGAAAACGGTGTGTTCTAAGATGCGTCCATAATCATCTAAAATTGAGTGCCCAAGTATATTTCTGTGTCTATAATATTACTAGTCAATAATATATTTAAATCTCTACGAAAATAATTGTTTTATTTCTGAAATACTATTAACCGTGTTCCATTCCAATTTTCTACTTATGTATCAATGCATAGCTAATTGTTAACTTTAATCTTCCTCTTAAGGTTTGTGTTATTAAATATTTAAAATTTCCAATATGTTATTCATTTATTACAATTTCCATTCCAATTTTTTACTAATGTAGAATGTAATTTCTACATTCGTAGAAAATTGGAATGAAAATAGTAGATATTATGATTAAAAATAGAATATTGAATGTGGGGGTGGACAATGAGCATTATACATATACTCACGCACACATTCACATCTGTTAGTTCATAGATCAAAAACTGGCGCGCTAGTGTCGCAAGCTGTTGGCATTTTTATTGTATGAAGTTTTCGTTCTTCCCGTCAGGGTACATGTATTCTGTGCGCGTAATCGGCGAGCGGCGGCGGCGTGGGACACATCTCCGGAACAGCAAGAAGAAGCGAAGCTGCGGCGTTGAAGAAACGGCTCGTAAATGGTCGACGGATGCGTGAAGATAGCCGGCGTGGGAATACGATGCGGTGCCGATGATATTTGTGGCTGCTTCTTGTTTCTATATTAGAACGTTAAATATATATACGTCAAATTATCTCGCATCGATATGCAGCCCGCAGTATCTCAGTAGCCGGGAGTAATTAGGAAATAAATGTTTTCTTCAGACCTTCACCTTTTGCGTTATGGTAGCAGCAGGGTACATTATTTATTACGGTTTAGGGTTGATTAGTCTGGCTGCTACAACCTCTTGTACGCCGACGATCAAGTTATATTTGCGCCGTTAGCGAATTACTTACAAATTGTGGTATCTTTAATGAACATAATATTACCTTCAAAAGAAATATGAATGAAAGTGAACGTAAGAAAGACGAGAGTGATGGTTTTTGAATGAAAAGAAAGTAAAACGACACGTGAAATAAATGTAGAAGGGAAGTTGATTGAGCAAGATGATGAGTTTGTATATTTATTCAAAAAATGCAAAAAGGCACGTATGGTATTGATAATGACAATGATGTGTTAGTTTTTCCGTTAATGATAGTGAAGCATGACAGTAAAATTAATGCTGCAGTAATGCGGTCATTAAGAAATATATTAGGGTTGTCTCTGTATGATAGGGCGAGAAATTGTGTGATAAGACAAAAGTGTGGTTTGCAAGGTGTTGTGAGTAGGTTAAAAAAGGAACGCTTCAGTTATTTGGACACGTAGAAAGTATAAATGAGGATTAAGATAACTTTATGCTAAAGAAGTTAGTGTCAGAGTCGGCAAGGGACGCTTTAGATGGAACTTTATCGACAGAATTGGCAATATATTGAAAATTAGCGACCCGCCTTGGCTTCGCCTGGTTAAGATCTATTAATTTGGCGTTATTTAGATTTAAGATAATCAAAGACTATTTATATTATCTATTCTTGTTTTTTTTTACCAAAAAAAAATATGCAAACTTTTCGGATAAAAATAGCCAAGATCTTTCCATTGCTTCTATCTGTTCGTACTGTTTCATCACAATCGGTTCAGCCAATCCAAATATTAGCTTTATAACTTTAACAATGGTTATTTATTTCTCAATAGCACTCCAATAACTGTTAAATTAATGTAAACAATAATTAATTGCCAGCTCATGAGGTACGTTTAAGATCACCAGCTGATTAGTGACCGCCAGTACGGTTTCCACCGGGATCTCTCAGTTGGTGATCTTCTGGGTTACCTAACTCATAGATGGGCGGAGGCAGTAGAGTCCAGGGGGGAGGAGGTTCGGGTTTGGCATAAAGAGCTCCTTTTGAAGCTTTCTGCCTATGGGCTTCCAGTGAAATTATGCAATTGGATTAGCAGTTTTTTTGCAGAGTATCAAAGTCGTAGTAGACAGTACATGCTCTGATTACAAGCCCATTAACGCTGGTGTACCACAACGCTGCATGCTATCATCAACACTGTTTCTTCTACATATCAATGATACATTGCAGACCGGTAACATTCATTGCTATGCGGACGACAGCACTGGTGATGATTTATACACCGGCCGTGCCAATATTTCTCGGGAAAACGTCACCGAATACCAGAATAAACTTGTGTCTGAAGTCGAGACTTTGCTGAATAAAGTCTCGGACTGGGGGTGACAAAAACTAGTTCAATTCAATCCCCAAAAGACACAAGTTTGCGCGTTTACCTTTAAAAAGAACCTATTTGTCGTATCTCCTCAGTTTCAGGGCACTTCGCTTGTGTTTTTTCGACGCTGAGGATTCCAATACTGGCTGAGGCAAGCCGGTATTGGAATCCTCAGCGTCGACAAATCGACTGAAGTGCAGTTTCGTGGTCACATGGGAGAGAAGGCCAATTGGCGTCTAAAAAGCTTGGTGTGCTCAGCAGAGCGGGACAGTATTTCATGCCGGCACATCACCTGCAATTTTACAAGGCGCAGGTTTGGCCTCGCTTGGAAAACAGTTACTATTTCCGGGCTAGGGCTCCCTAGTGCGAGCTCCTTTCATTTGATCGCATCCAGCGCAGAACGGTTTGAATCATCGGCGACCGAGTTCTTTCTGATCGGCTTGACTCACTGGTACTGTGAAGAGATGTTGCATCTCTTTGCGTATTTTATCTCATCTACATGATTTTTTTTCTCGTATAACTTCTTTGTGGAATGGACTACCACCAGCTATTTCTCCGGGCCGATACGACTTAGGGACCTTCAAGAAAAGAGCCTACTCTTTTTTAACAAGCACGCAACGCATCTTTAATTCATTTATACTGTTAGTCATCTACCATCAGGTGAGCCGAATGCTCGTTTGCCTCCTCTCCTAAAAAAAAACTCACTAAGTTTAGTAGCAATATTGCAGACAGAAAATTCAATTTAATTTAAATGTATAGATTATATTTAACTAGCTTTTTACCTGCGGCTTCGCTCGCATGGTCTTCAATTCGGAAACAACATTAAATGCTTTGCGTGCCAAATTTAACAAAATTGATCGAATTTTGTTAAATTTGTTTTTGTTAAGTTTTAGAGTCACTTCGGTGTTTGAATCTGCGTATGCGATATTTGATTCATATCATTGGTCCCATTTTTATTGATTGTCATCATAAAATAGATTCTGATATTTTTTCTACGTTCGAGTAGACTTCAAAATTGCATAAATGCAGTTCTATAATGATGAATACTACACATGTAATAAATCAAATTTTAATAAATCACGTTACATTATAAATTTTATTTAAGCGGGTTGTACAAAACACATCTTCGGAACAAAGTTCCATAAAATTTGCGTAAAAGAGCATATTGCTGATGTGAAGCACCGACGCTGCGGGAAGTGAGAAGTACGTTAACATGTTCAATATCGTCAAAACCATTATGTCGGATGTGACAGACAACAAATCTTAGCAAGAGAACACCGATTCCTACCAAGCATGATTCGCGAGGCCATTGAAATTAAAAACATCCTAACTAAAATAGAGAAGATGGCTGGGTGCTACTAACTCAGTCCTCCCCCCACTCTCCATGGGTATCTCCATGGGTTCTTTAAAGTGCCCAAAACGTCAGGAATTACAAAACGCTGCCCAGCCTTGTTGAACATGAATGTTGTACATGATCTTTGTTTTCTCTATGTTCATTTTAAGATCAATGCGTTGAGAGGCACTATTAAGTTCATTGAGCATAGTGCTTAGGTGCTCCAGCGATTCTGCCATAAGGACTATATCG